ATGATTATAGTCGAAAAATTTGGTCCTATTTTCTACATACCAATTCTGAAGCTTTTGATACATTCAAAAGGTTCAAGTCATCAGTTAAGAAGGAAACAAGGTACAACATAACATGTTTGTGCACCAACAGAGGAAGACAGTTCACCTCATCAGAATTTAATGACTACTGCAACACTAATGGAGTTGCAAGACAACTCATCGCTAGATATTCACCATAAAAGAACAGAGTTGCAGAAAAAATGAACCAAACCCTGATGAATATGGTGAGATGCATGGTTGTAGCTCGAGATGTTCCAAAAGAGTATTGGCCAAGCAGCAAACCTGGCCACTCATGTTCTAAATAGATGTCCAACCTTAGTCTTGCCAAACATGACACCAGAAGAAGCTTGGAATGAGAGAAAACCACCAATTGTACACCTCAAGGTGTTTGGATGTATAAGATATGTACATGTTCCCGATGTCACGAGGAAGAAGCTAGATTACAAAAACATTAAATGCGTATTCATGGGAGTCAGTGAAGAATCCAAACCTTTTCGGATGTATGATCCAAAGACAAACAAAATTATCATCAATCAAGATGTAGTTTTTGATAAAATGGAGAAATAAGATTGGAAGAAGTAAGGAGAAACCAATTCTCTTGACCTTATATATGAATGAAAGGAAGAAACTAAGAAAAACAAGGATTTATAATCTAAAATTCAAGACGGCACAACAGAAATCATAAGAAATAAGGTTCTTAAAAGGAGAAGAAGGCCACCAGCACGGATGAGAGACTATGAGTCTGGAGTCGGGCTATTAGAAGAAGAAGAAGAGGGAATGGAGATTCGGCTTACAAAATTGTTCAGTTAAAAAACCCAATCGTTCCAAGGTGCAAGCTAACCAAAGATGCTGGAGGATTGAAGATTGATGCAACCACATATAAACAAATGGTGGGAAGTCTTATGTATTTAACTGTTACTAGGCCAAACCTGATGTATGCTTTGAGTCTAGTGGCTCATTTCATGAGTACTCCAACGAATGTTCATCAACAAGCGATGAAAAGGGTCTTATGCTACTTGAGAGGAACCACTGAATTGGGGTTGTTTTATAAAAGAAAAGAAAAAGGAGATGAGCATTTGGTAGCCTTTTGTGATAGTGATTATGCGGAAGACCTTGATGATTAAAGAAGTACCTCAAGGCATCTTTTTAAGATGTCAAATAGGTTAGTTGCTTGAAGTTCTAAGAAGCATCCTATAATATCATTATCCACCACTAAGCCTGAACATATTTCTGTAGCAGGATGTGTCATTCAAAGCATTTGGATGATGCGTGTACTTGAGAGTTTGGGGATTAAACAAAATAAGTGCATTATTTGTTATAATAGTTCAACTATTAAACTCTCAAAGAATCTAGTTATACATGATAGAAGTAAGCATATTCATGTTTGATTTCACTTTCTTCGGAAATTGACCAATCAAGGAAAATTGAATTAGTACATTGTGGTACTAAGGATTGGTTGACTGACAGTGTCACCAAAACCTTGAGACGAAGTGTTCATGCAATTGAGAGAAAGACTTGGAATATGCAGTATTGAAGAGATAAATTAATTGTATTCACTTGAATAACAATTCAGTTTAAAGAATGACATATTGAAAGAATATTGATGACTCATTCAAATGAGTCGATGCTTTATTTTAAAATAAACTTATCCTCCAGGAAGAATATGATAAAAACTCTTAGTTGCTTTCTTGTTATTCAAACTTTGTTGCCATATTTTTACTGTTCTTTTTTAGATTTAACATTTTAAATTCAAACTTTGTTACCAATGTTTTATGAATATATTTTTCACCATAATTAAAATATTACAAATAGAAACTTATGTTCAAATAAAATTGATTTGTTCTTTGTTATTAATCAAAATTTAAATCACATTTCTTTTTTATGAAGTAATACAAATCAAACATATGTAATACAAATTATTTTAATATGTACATGGAATATAATTTCACGAATGTCATACATTTCGTACATCACGTGACACATAATTGCGTTTTCCTCATTGAGTGCATGAATCCTAGAAAAAGCTTCCAACCTCAATCAATCTTAGTAGACTTCTTGAGTTCATTTGGTAATAATACATTTTAAAACAAAAAAAAGAACTTGGAAAACAAAGATGCAATTATCAACGCAAACACTATGGGAAGATGTTAAAAAAATGTGATAGAGATATAAAAATAGTTCGTCTCAGAGGTGGATGTTATAGAAGTTTGCTCTTGCCTCTTTGCACACAATGTTGTTGGACTGTCCATAGATATCGCAAAAATGATTTTCATTGGGTTATGTTGTCTTGCGTGGGACTGTTTGGCCATACTTCCTGTACTTAAACCATATTACTTCTTTCTTTATTGTGCTATGTTGTTTTTAATAAAGACATTTTATATCATTCCCTGATTTATAATCGAATTGAGCCTCAAATCAAATTCACTAGCTATGGTGTTTGTATGAGGGTTAGGATGTCATTGGCTTGGCCATGCCTTACTGCATATGATTTGTGTTTTATTTAATAAACCATGACATCATCAGGTGCACCCATGCTTCTCTGTTGTTTTATAGTAATTGGTATACAATTTCGAAGAGATTCCTGCCAGTCACTCTGTTGTCCCTTCTTCTTTTAATTCTTGGGCTATTAAGCATGATGCAGTGTAGTTCTTTTATCTGTTTATGTATTTATATATGTATGTATTTATGTATTTATTTTTGTATGTATTTATGTATTTGTGTATTTATGTTTTTACTTGTCTATGTATTTGTGTATTTGTCTATTTGTCTATTTATGTATTTATATATTTGTGTATTGATGTATTTATTTATTTATGTATTTATGTAATTATCTATTTATGTATTTATGTGTTTATACATGTATGTATTTATGTATTGATATATGTATATATTTATTTATGTATGTATTTATGTATTTATGCTTTTACTTATCTATGTATTTATGTATTTATTATATATTTTTGTATTGATGTATTTATGTTTTTATGTATTTCTGTATTTACATATTTGTGTATTTACGTATTTGTGTATTTATGTATTTATATATCTATGTATTTGTGTATTTATGTATTTTTATATATCTATGTATTTATTTATTTGTGTATTTATGTATTTATATGTATTATGTATTTATGTATTTATGTATTTATGTATTTATGTGTTTATGTGTTTATGTGTTTATGTGTTTATGTGTTTATGTGTTTATGTATTTATGTATTTATGTATTTATGTACTTATGTATTTATGTACTTATGTATTTATAAAAACTATATATAAGATTAATCTCCCTTGTGTTGAATATACACGTAGGGTCCTCTAGTTATAATAGAAGAAATGGGCTAAGCCCAAAATACAAATAAGAAATAATAACAAACTAACTAAAGATAAAAGATAAATATAAAATAAATATAATATATCTAACACACCCCTCGGGCTAGTGCATAAATGGCTAGTGCATAAATATTGTATATCAACCCAAAAGACTCCTCCTAAGCAACAAATCTACAAATCTGGGAGGTTGCTCCATATAAATCTCTTCTTGCAAATTGCCCTTGAGGAATGTCACCAGTGGATAAAGAGGTAATTGTTGGAGAGCCACCACAACTATAAATAAACTAACAAAAACCATATTTTTCATGGAAAAAAATCATATATGAATGGGTCAAACGCAATGGTGACAAAAGAGAGGTCAGAAGAAACAACAGCGGAAGAAGTCATGGATGAATAGGAGAGAGAAATTATAAAAATCTAAGATTCTTCAATCAAGGCACCTTAAAAAAGAAAAAAAAAAGCAACATCGATGTTATGAATAGCTGCTAAACATGCAACCATGCACAATGGAAAATGCACCAAATTCATAACTTAAAAAGGCACTGAGAGCGCATAAGAGTTCTGATGAAGGCATTGTTAATGGCATGGTGGTCGCCTGACCGAGACGATCAAATCCATGTGATCATCAGTCGAAACTAAAAATCCGATAGTGAATAGACGATAGCGATAGACGACGACAATAGATGGCGCCACCGCCAACCACAGTAGATGTAGCTATAGAGGCACCAAAAACTTTTTCCTCAAAAGAACCTGGCTCTAGATACCATGTTGAATATAGTGAAAAACTATATATAACATTAATCTTCCTTATATTGAACATACACATAGGGTCTTCTATTTATAATAGAATAAGCCCAAAATATAAATAAAAAATAACAAACTAACTAAAGATAAAAGATAAATATAAAATAAAGATAATATATCTAAACATGTATTTATATTTCATATAAGAGTTTGGAGAAAAAGTCAACCAAAACTAAAGTGCACTAGTGATGAATATAAAAATCATAAAATAGATACAAATTATGTCAATAATTAAATATTTTCTTTCAAAAACTTTCCAATATGTGTTTTGACATTTTCTCTCTTCTTCGTTGATGAAGTGTATTTGAGTATTTCCCTTTATATTTATATTGTAGCGTGTTGGAAGAAAGTGCCAATTGTCCATCCATAGCTATAAACCCATCTAATATAAAACCTCTATACTTAAGGATGACAAATATTTACCAAAAAAGGGAACAATCCTAGGTACCAATAACTATTAATTTATAAAATGTTATGTAATTTAGTAAATATAATAACTAATTACTTTTTTCTTTGAATTTGATTGCTATTTAATGATTTTTTTTATAATGATAAATAGGTCAGCTTATCAATTTTTTTTAAAAAAAAATAATTTTAAAATTGTTTTATATATGCATTAAAAATATATTTAATCATATATATCTTCTAAACTTTTAATTAACTATTATCTTTAATGAATAAATTCAAATAACTTTTATATTTACCTATTAAACTACTCTTATAATTAATAATTAAAATTTAATTTCTAAGTGTTAATCATTTAAATTGCAATATCATTGCATATTTATATCTTTAAAATAATATAATATAAAAAACTAATTTTTAAATTTTAAAAAAAAATCAACAAACTAGGCAAGACTTGCCAATGCGGGCTGAGTGGTGGCCCATAACCTATTTTGACATCCTAACTTTACTGGCGAGCCATATTTGAAATTAAAGGATGGAGAAGAGCACATAAAATGTTAAATAAGACAAAAAATAGAGTTTACTGTCAGCTTCTGAATTGATCACATATTTCACAGAGAAAATAGTCAAATTCTGCCTCTCTTTACAGCATTTTTATCTCTTGCATGCAGAAGGATCTTTGCTTGAATCTGTCTTCCTTTTCTGAGTTAAATAAAGATAATATTAGATTTTAGTGCAATTTAAGTCTGCATATAAACAGCATTTATTTCTTCAAGACATGAAAAGAACAAAACACGACACAAGTAACAATTAGAAATGGTAACCAATATCATGTCTTAACGTGGCTTGGGGAAATAACTATTCACTGTTCACATTCAAAGAGATACTATGAAATATACTACTTTCTTTGAACTCAAACATAAGCTAAATTAACTAATTTTTAAGCCAATGAAGGAAGTTAGTTAATATCAATTAATCCTACAAATCAAATTCAAAAATAACCTTTTTTACCTAAATTACTGAAATTTGAGATCAAAAGTAAAAAATAGTCAATGTAGAATCTCAATTAATCAAGAATAATTGGATGTACGTAGTTAAAAATTGATTATGTTATAATCAAACTTTAATATTATAGAACACCAGACCTTTTCATTTTGTTGGTTATACCTTGCTATGGCATGTAAACAAGGTGGTAAAATTTATGTAAATGATAAAATTAGCGTGAAATTTAACATTAGACACAATACATAAAGAACAAACCTTGTTTTGTTGGTTCTTCACCTGCAAGGGATGGGGATCATGGGATTTGACTCTGATGTTTTCTATGCAACTTCCATTATTTACTCGATGTAGTCTGTGCTTCTGCTTCTTGTACTTTTCACCCTTATCTTTGACCTTTTTTTTCTTCTTCTCGTGATCTCTAGATTGGTTCTCTGACTTGAGCACTGCATTTAGGAGCCCCTACAGCACATTGGCATAACATGTCTTTTTGTCATAACAATGAAACGTGATTTTGAATTATTCAGTTTTCTTTAACAAAAGGATCAAATGTAGCCAGAAAAAAGACAAAATCTTACTGAAGAAAGGTGGAATGGANCTTCTTTTAATTCTTGGGCTATTAAGCATGATGCAGTGTAGTTCTTTTATCTGTTTATGTATTTATATATGTATGTATTTATGTATTTATTTTTGTATGTATTTATGTATTTGTGTATTTATGTTTTTACTTGTCTATGTATTTGTGTATTTGTCTATTTGTCTATTTATGTATTTATATATTTGTGTATTGATGTATTTATTTATTTATGTATTTATGTAATTATCTATTTATGTATTTATGTGTTTATACATGTATGTATTTATGTATTGATATATGTATATATTTATTTATGTATGTATTTATGTATTTATGCTTTTACTTATCTATGTATTTATGTATTTATTATATATTTTTGTATTGATGTATTTATGTTTTTATGTATTTCTGTATTTACATATTTGTGTATTTACGTATTTGTGTATTTATGTATTTATATATCTATGTATTTGTGTATTTATGTATTTTTATATATCTATGTATTTATTTATTTGTGTATTTATGTATTTATATGTATTATGTATTTATGTATTTATGTATTTATGTATTTATGTGTTTATGTGTTTATGTGTTTATGTGTTTATGTGTTTATGTGTTTATGTATTTATGTATTTATGTATTTATGTACTTATGTATTTATGTACTTATGTATTTATAAAAACTATATATAAGATTAATCTCCCTTGTGTTGAATATACACGTAGGGTCCTCTAGTTATAATAGAAGAAATGGGCTAAGCCCAAAATACAAATAAGAAATAATAACAAACTAACTAAAGATAAAAGATAAATATAAAATAAATATAATATATCTAACACACCCCTCGGGCTAGTGCATAAATGGCTAGTGCATAAATATTGTATATCAACCCAAAAGACTCCTCCTAAGCAACAAATCTACAAATCTGGGAGGTTGCTCCATATAAATCTCTTCTTGCAAATTGCCCTTGAGGAATGTCACCAGTGGATAAAGAGGTAATTGTTGGAGAGCCACCACAACTATAAATAAACTAACAAAAANCGTGTACTTGAGAGTTTGGGGATTAAACAAAATAAGTGCATTATTTGTTATAATAGTTCAACTATTAAACTCTCAAAGAATCTAGTTATACATGATAGAAGTAAGCATATTCATGTTTGATTTCACTTTCTTCGGAAATTGACCAATCAAGGAAAATTGAATTAGTACATTGTGGTACTAAGGATTGGTTGACTGACAGTGTCACCAAAACCTTGAGACGAAGTGTTCATGCAATTGAGAGAAAGACTTGGAATATGCAGTATTGAAGAGATAAATTAATTGTATTCACTTGAATAACAATTCAGTTTAAAGAATGACATATTGAAAGAATATTGATGACTCATTCAAATGAGTCGATGCTTTATTTTAAAATAAACTTATCCTCCAGGAAGAATATGATAAAAACTCTTAGTTGCTTTCTTGTTATTCAAACTTTGTTGCCATATTTTTACTGTTCTTTTTTAGATTTAACATTTTAAATTCAAACTTTGTTACCAATGTTTTATGAATATATTTTTCACCATAATTAAAATATTACAAATAGAAACTTATGTTCAAATAAAATTGATTTGTTCTTTGTTATTAATCAAAATTTAAATCACATTTCTTTTTTATGAAGTAATACAAATCAAACATATGTAATACAAATTATTTTAATATGTACATGGAATATAATTTCACGAATGTCATACATTTCGTACATCACGTGACACATAATTGCGTTTTCCTCATTGAGTGCATGAATCCTAGAAAAAGCTTCCAACCTCAATCAATCTTAGTAGACTTCTTGAGTTCATTTGGTAATAATACATTTTAAAACAAAAAAAAGAACTTGGAAAACAAAGATGCAATTATCAACGCAAACACTATGGGAAGATGTTAAAAAAATGTGATAGAGATATAAAAATAGTTCGTCTCAGAGGTGGATGTTATAGAAGTTTGCTCTTGCCTCTTTGCACACAATGTTGTTGGACTGTCCATAGATATCGCAAAAATGATTTTCATTGGGTTATGTTGTCTTGCGTGGGACTGTTTGGCCATACTTCCTGTACTTAAACCATATTACTTCTTTCTTTATTGTGCTATGTTGTTTTTAATAAAGACATTTTATATCATTCCCTGATTTATAATCGAATTGAGCCTCAAATCAAATTCACTAGCTATGGTGTTTGTATGAGGGTTAGGATGTCATTGGCTTGGCCATGCCTTACTGCATATGATTTGTGTTTTATTTAATAAACCATGACATCATCAGGTGCACCCATGCTTCTCTGTTGTTTTATAGTAATTGGTATACAATTTCGAAGAGATTCCTGCCAGTCACTCTGTTGTCCCTTCTTCTTTTAATTCTTGGGCTATTAAGCATGATGCAGTGTAGTTCTTTTATCTGTTTATGTATTTATATATGTATGTATTTATGTATTTATTTTTGTATGTATTTATGTATTTGTGTATTTATGTTTTTACTTGTCTATGTATTTGTGTATTTGTCTATTTGTCTATTTATGTATTTATATATTTGTGTATTGATGTATTTATTTATTTATGTATTTATGTAATTATCTATTTATGTATTTATGTGTTTATACATGTATGTATTTATGTATTGATATATGTATATATTTATTTATGTATGTATTTATGTATTTATGCTTTTACTTATCTATGTATTTATGTATTTATTATATATTTTTGTATTGATGTATTTATGTTTTTATGTATTTCTGTATTTACATATTTGTGTATTTACGTATTTGTGTATTTATGTATTTATATATCTATGTATTTGTGTATTTATGTATTTTTATATATCTATGTATTTATTTATTTGTGTATTTATGTATTTATATGTATTATGTATTTATGTATTTATGTATTTATGTATTTATGTGTTTATGTGTTTATGTGTTTATGTGTTTATGTGTTTATGTGTTTATGTATTTATGTATTTATGTATTTATGTACTTATGTATTTATGTATTTATGTATTTATGTATTTATGTATTTATGTATTTATGTATTTATGTATTTATGTATTTATGTATTTATGTATTTATGTATTTATGTATGTATTTATGTGTTTATACATGTATGTATTTATGTATTGATATATGTATATATTTATTTATGTATGTATTTATGTATTTATGCTTTTACTTATCTATGTATTTATGTATTTATTATATATTTTTGTATTGATGTATTTATGTTTTTATGTATTTCTGTATTTACATATTTGTGTATTTACGTATTTGTGTATTTATGTATTTATATATCTATGTATTTGTGTATTTATGTATTTTTATATATCTATGTATTTATTTATGTATTTATGTATTTATATGTATTATGTATTTATGTATTTATGTATTTATGTATTTATGTGTTTATGTGTTTATGTGTTTATGTGTTTATGTGTTTATGTGTTTATGTGTTTATGTATTTATGTATTTATGTATTTATGTACTTATGTATTTATGTACTTATGTATTTATAAAAACTATATATAAGATTAATCTCCCTTGTGTTGAATATACACGTAGGGTCCTCTAGTTATAATAGAAGAAATGGGCTAAGCCCAAAATACAAATAAGAAATAATAACAAACTAACTAAAGATAAAAGATAAATATAAAATAAATATAATATATCTAACACACCCCTCGGGCTAGTGCATAAATGGCTAGTGCATAAATATTGTATATCAACCCAAAAGACTCCTCCTAAGCAACAAATCTACAAATCTGGGAGGTTGCTCCATATAAATCTCTTCTTGCAAATTGCCCTTGAGGAATGTCACCAGTGGATAAAGAGGTAATTGTTGGAGAGCCACCACAACTATAAATAAACTAACAAAAACCATATTTTTCATGGAAAAAAATCATATATGAATGGGTCAAACGCAATGGTGACAAAAGAGAGGTCAGAAGAAACAACAGCGGAAGAAGTCATGGATGAATAGGAGAGAGAAATTATAAAAATCTAAGATTCTTCAATCAAGGCACCTTAAAAAAGAAAAAAAAAAGCAACATCGATGTTATGAATAGCTGCTAAACATGCAACCATGCACAATGGAAAATGCACCAAATTCATAACTTAAAAAGGCACTGAGAGCGCATAAGAGTTCTGATGAAGGCATTGTTAATGGCATGGTGGTCGCCTGACCGAGACGATCAAATCCATGTGATCATCAGTCGAAACTAAAAATCCGATAGTGAATAGACGATAGCGATAGACGACGACAATAGATGGCGCCACCGCCAACCACAGTAGATGTAGCTATAGAGGCACCAAAAACTTTTTCCTCAAAAGAACCTGGCTCTAGATACCATGTTGAATATAGTGAAAAACTATATATAACATTAATCTTCCTTATATTGAACATACACATAGGGTCTTCTATTTATAATAGAATAAGCCCAAAATATAAATAAAAAATAACAAACTAACTAAAGATAAAAGATAAATATAAAATAAAGATAATATATCTAAACATGTATTTATATTTCATATAAGAGTTTGGAGAAAAAGTCAACCAAAACTAAAGTGCACTAGTGATGAATATAAAAATCATAAAATAGATACAAATTATGTCAATAATTAAATATTTTCTTTCAAAAACTTTCCAATATGTGTTTTGACATTTTCTCTCTTCTTCGTTGATGAAGTGTATTTGAGTATTTCCCTTTATATTTATATTGTAGCGTGTTGGAAGAAAGTGCCAATTGTCCATCCATAGCTATAAACCCATCTAATATAAAACCTCTATACTTAAGGATGACAAATATTTACCAAAAAAGGGAACAATCCTAGGTACCAATAACTATTAATTTATAAAATGTTATGTAATTTAGTAAATATAATAACTAATTACTTTTTTCTTTGAATTTGATTGCTATTTAATGATTTTTTTTATAATGATAAATAGGTCAGCTTATCAATTTTTTTTAAAAAAAAATAATTTTAAAATTGTTTTATATATGCATTAAAAATATATTTAATCATATATATCTTCTAAACTTTTAATTAACTATTATCTTTAATGAATAAATTCAAATAACTTTTATATTTACCTATTAAACTACTCTTATAATTAATAATTAAAATTTAATTTCTAAGTGTTAATCATTTAAATTGCAATATCATTGCATATTTATATCTTTAAAATAATATAATATAAAAAACTAATTTTTAAATTTTAAAAAAAAATCAACAAACTAGGCAAGACTTGCCAATGCGGGCTGAGTGGTGGCCCATAACCTATTTTGACATCCTAACTTTACTGGCGAGCCATATTTGAAATTAAAGGATGGAGAAGAGCACATAAAATGTTAAATAAGACAAAAAATAGAGTTTACTGTCAGCTTCTGAATTGATCACATATTTCACAGAGAAAATAGTCAAATTCTGCCTCTCTTTACAGCATTTTTATCTCTTGCATGCAGAAGGATCTTTGCTTGAATCTGTCTTCCTTTTCTGAGTTAAATAAAGATAATATTAGATTTTAGTGCAATTTAAGTCTGCATATAAACAGCATTTATTTCTTCAAGACATGAAAAGAACAAAACACGACACAAGTAACAATTAGAAATGGTAACCAATATCATGTCTTAACGTGGCTTGGGGAAATAACTATTCACTGTTCACATTCAAAGAGATACTATGAAATATACTACTTTCTTTGAACTCAAACATAAGCTAAATTAACTAATTTTTAAGCCAATGAAGGAAGTTAGTTAATATCAATTAATCCTACAAATCAAATTCAAAAATAACCTTTTTTACCTAAATTACTGAAATTTGAGATCAAAAGTAAAAAATAGTCAATGTAGAATCTCAATTAATCAAGAATAATTGGATGTACGTAGTTAAAAATTGATTATGTTATAATCAAACTTTAATATTATAGAACACCAGACCTTTTCATTTTGTTGGTTATACCTTGCTATGGCATGTAAACAAGGTGGTAAAATTTATGTAAATGATAAAATTAGCGTGAAATTTAACATTAGACACAATACATAAAGAACAAACCTTGTTTTGTTGGTTCTTCACCTGCAAGGGATGGGGATCATGGGATTTGACTCTGATGTTTTCTATACAACTTCCATTATTTACACGATGTAGTCTGTGCTTCTGCTTCTTGTACTTTTCACCCTTATCTTTGACCTTTTTTTTCTTCTTCTCGTGATCTCTAGATTGGTTCTCTGACTTGAGCACTGCATTTAGGAGCCCCTACAGCACATTGGCATAACATGTCTTTTTGTCATAACAATGAAACGTGATTTTGAATTATTCAGTTTTCTTTAACAAAAGGATCAAATGTAGCCAGAAAAAAGACAAAATCTTACTGAAGAAAGGTGGAATGGACTCATTTCCCTCATATGGAAAGCTTCACTCAGTACATCCAAGTCAAAAGGACATAAGGAAGTTTTTTTCTCACTTGGTTCAGGGTTCTGACAGAGCTGATCCAGTTCCATTCCTTCTCCTTTCCTGACTTTTGTGTCACCAACCACATTGTGAAGATAATGTGTCTCCGAGATTGACACTGGAAGTGGCTTCTTGCAAAAGAATTCATAGTAGGGCCAAAGTCTATATTGATTTATGAGATCACGAGTTCCTCCAAGTTCTCTGTTACCTAATTCCAAGAAATAACCTTACTAAATAAAATATACTTGAAGAAATATAAATTTTCATGCATCCATTGCATGTTTCTAAAAAGCAGAAAAGAAACAGAAGAGCCAAAAAAAGAATTTGATTGAGAATGCTTGTTTTGTCTACCTAGAATTATAAAACTGTTGAGTTAATTCAAGAATTTTAACACCATGAGTGTGACAGTTGAGGGTGATAGAACAGGACAGAACTTATAGGACTACAGCGAGATTATTATTACACAGAAATCAGGCCTTATTGCCTTGTTGGGCAGGCTAAGACAGGTTTGAAGGATCTACAAGCTAACTCACAATCCTAACACTTAAGACAAAATGTAATTTAGAGGGCTTGAAAGACCCCTCTTATGATCACATATTTATAATGATAAAGTTCTAATACAATGAGAAGGTGAAAGATAAAAAAAGCTAAACTAAGAGCTAAGGTACAAAACGAAGGTAAACAACCCATACTCCAACGGTAGAGTTCCCAACACAACTACTTTCTACCCAGATTTAATACTTATTTTAACACCTCCTAAAGTTGTATGTATCAAGTTTGGAACACAAACTCAATCTACGGTCCTCTTAAGGACTTGGTTAACACATCTACAAGTTGATCATTTGATCCGACAAACTCGATACAAATTTCTTTTAATAACAATTTTTCTCAAATAAATGATAATCAATCTCTGTTTAGTTCTCCCATGGAATATTGAATTGGACATAATGTGCAAAGTCCTAAATGCAGGTATTCTTCATAAGAGAATTTGGGGTCTGTAGCTTCAGCTTTAGAGACATTGTTTGTCTTTGTTAGGAATGTGACCCATTCTCTTTACAGTACCCAGCATTGAAAATGTCCCTGACTACCATGTCCTCCTCTAGTATTGTGTCCTTTTCCTCATGTGAAAACCACAATAGAACGTCGCACATGTTCATGAACATCCTTGCTTCAAAGATTTGGAACCTGAAGGAGTCATGTGGTCAAGCTTTCTACGAAAAGGGACTTCATCACCGGTTAAAAGTTTATGTCTGACATGATCAAAGTCAAGATGTAGGGCATGGAGGATCATCACCAATGTAGTATTTGTCTAGTTTTCTTTCTTGTTATTGTCCAATGACTCAACCTCCAAGAACATTTTCAATTCTTCAACCGTAGATTAAGCTTCACTCATGAAAAACATCATGTCATTATCAGTTTGTTTGAGAGAGCAAGAAGTGGGTTGTAGATCTATTGCATATGTCATAAGTCGCTGAAATATCATTTTGCAAAATATTTTGAAGGAGCCTTTATTTTATCCGAAACCAGTTTACATCTTTAAAGATCTGAAAGTACCTAACAATTTGGGTTCCACATACTACTATAGTAAGGCTCAAAGCTGAAAATCAATTTGCTTCCACTGTTCAGCTTGCTCAGAAGGCATATTACTCCCATCTTATTGAAGGTGATCATGGTAACCTTGGCCAAGGAACCACATTTCAACCGAGGCAAACCATGAAAGATAGGTTCAATAGACATTTAGTTGGAGTTTGAGAAACCAGTAGAGACAATGAAACAACCAATGTTTATAGTAATAAAGAAAACCCTAGGATTGAATAAGAAACTTGTTAACAACATCGAAAAAGAAGGAACATGACCACAAACGTCGAGAGGAGGTCTAAACAATGCGTTGACATGGATCATGACGATGCTCCACGATACGGAAGGCGACCCCGTGGACTTCATGCACGTAGCATTGGCAAGGAGAACTCGTGTGTGTGCGACACATGATGCAGAGAATGGCTCCAGGACAGGTGTGGTTAGTCGTCGCTTGAGAAAAATCTCCAAATCGACAACCAGTGGCCAGCAACAGCGGCCAGCGACATGGTTAACAACAACATCTGGTAGTGGCAAATGGCAACAATGAAAACAACGGCAAGAACACGGAGACCAATTAAACGGGATCAACCTGCTCTGATACTAACTTGAGATTAATAATCGAGAAAATATATTTTAGAGGGCTTGAAAGACCCCTCTTATGATCTCATATTTATAATGATAGAATTCTGATACAATGAGAAAATGAAAGATCAAAAGGTTGAATTAAGAACCTAGCTATGGAACTAGGTACAACTCATAGGTACAGCAAGTAGTAGTTCCCAACATAACTACTTTCTACCTACAATTAATATTTATTCTAACAAATATTGAATCATCTTTTAGGACATCCGTGAGTAAAAGGAGTTAGCATTATTTTATTGCCTATCAAATCCATCAGAGTCTAGAGAAAGCTCTAGCTCCACAACTTATGAAAATGCTCACGCGACAATATATGGTTTTTCAATGCAAGAACCGACATTTTTGGAGTTGTCACATGTAGCATTTACCATGTTTAATGCAATCCCTGTCTTTAAAAGGGTACTGACTACTAGTACCTAAAATTTAGTACTCCATGAAAGGGATTCATCATGAGCTGCTTCAACATAACTTCAGTTATAGATTAACTTGAACTTTGCTTTTAGGTACTACCATGTAAGTTTTATGAGGTGAGTCGCATCCAAAACCTTAGCAATAATTTATTTTTTCATTTCTTATGATTAATCTTACCTTTCAGCTTTATGATTTCCTTGGGAGGATTTTTAATAACCTCTTGTACTTCTTTCCTTCCAATTTAGTAATATGTTTTTTTATACATAATGACAATATGAGAATACTCAAGGTCAAACACTCTATTGAAAACAAGTTAAAACAGGTCTGCAAGTCAAAAGATTCAGCACAAAAATAACATCTATGGCGCTTTACCAAAACATCTAATTCAGGTTTTAGATGGCCTATTTCCACACACGATTTAGCTCCTCCTCAAGAAAGAAAAATATAATAGAGAAAATATGTCCAATGGTGTGCAAATATATTATAACTTACTCTTCTCCGCATCATTAACAGAGATTATCTTGCTGAAGATATAATAACATTGTCAAATTTAAGACTGGAAATGCCAAGCAGCCAAACATTGTATTTTAATCTTTAAAAAGATAAGGAAATAATCTGATGTTATTTGTGAGAACAGGAAGTATAAATGAAGGGGAAGGCTGGGAAAAGACATTCCAAACTTTAATCATACCAGTCAACTGACACTTTCTGAAGTTTTTTCTAGAAATAGAAGACACATAATCATATTAGCTCTCATCAAACGGCAGTACATGCAAGTAATAAGAAAGCGATGTGGAATAGTGAACAGTTTATCAATAACCCACTGAGGATCAAATAGAATTAGCATATAATAGAGGCATGACACACTTATCGAGCCTCAGTGACCTCATTTAAAAAAAAAGTTGGGCCCTTCAAACACTCAAATGTTTAGAGCAAGCCCTCACCAGGATTTTTACACATGACCACTCATGATCACAATCCCTAAGCTCTATTTGCGGGTCACTGGACTAAACCTCACGAAATGCTCTGATTCGAAGGGCTCCAGAAACAGGAACACATGAAATCAGGAAGTTCTCTGTAACTAGTTTCTGTGCCGCAGAAAACTCGGTAACATGCCAATCTTCTGTTTCTAAAAACCTTTGGTTTAGATAGGAATTATAAAAAGAAACTAATTTCATTCCGTGAATAAGCCATTCGTACATATGCTCCACAGTTAAACATATGCTTTCACAGGTTTCTAGCTCTCTATTCCTAAGAAGGTAATCACAACACAACAGAAAGATCGCAGTTTTGCAGTTAGTTTTCACATCCACTTTATCAATAAAAGTAGAAAAACAAAAACCACAATGAGCTACATCTCAAGTTCTTACCCCTTCCATACTTTTGTCTGCAATATCCATCTTTCGAAGTACCTCACAACATGCACCTCAAGTGCATCTGCCAGTCATAATTAACAAATACATCAACCACCAACTGGAAGTTACTGGCAGAAAATATGGACAAGAGAGGAAGTTTCAAAGCACTGAAATTGTACACTCTTAACAAAATCTGAGACTATAGCACCCTATCTAACACATACATGACATCTTGAAGTATGTAAAAGAATGCATCAAATATCTCAAACAATAAACCCATCGAGAAACGGTCTTTCCATCTCAAAAAGATCGCCCCAATACCTAAATGCATTATCATGTAATAAGTTTAAAAACTTACACGGTCAGAGTGTAATTAAACAATGAAGGGGCAACAGACGTAAAACCGATCAGACACCTTCCCCAAACAAAGCTCGGGAAATGAACAGGGAAAAATACCTGAGAACAAAGCAGAGAGAGAAAGGTGCTAGGGTTCGGAGATGGTGTATGGTTATTGGTTGCAAAGGAAGGAATATCTATTTTTTTTTTTCAGCTTGAATTTTGTTTTGCTTCATTTTCTTAATTTCTTTCAAGAGCAGAGAATGAAGAAATATTTATTTTTTTAAATGATTTATTTGATGATTTTACATAAGTTATTAAATTAAATTAATTAAATACTAATTATTTTTTATTATTAATAAGTTTATAAATTGAAAAGAAGTTAATCACTATTAATATTAATAATTAGTATCATTAATTCAATTTTACTTATCTATAAATTATTAAATTTTGAAGCATATCACAAAAATATTAAAATGTTATTAAATGTTTATTGTTAAATTTCTTTGTGAATAAAATTTATTATTATTAATAATATAAAATAAATTTGAGTAATAATAACTATTAATAGTATTCATATAAAATTAAATTTTACTATGTTTTGTTATAAAAATGATATAAATTGACATTAATAAGTATGTTTTTAATATTCAAATGTCTTGTTATCAATGTATTTTTTCTAATTCTTAATTTTCAAAAAGAACTTAAATAATCTTTAATATCAATAATTAAAACAGGGATTTATGTATTGTGTTTTTTTTTATACAAATCAGTTTTGTGTTATGTACGAAGAGTGGAATATTTGGGTTATATTATCATCAATTTTTTAGTTAATTATTTTATGTAAACTTTAGCACTGTAAATTCAAACCGAACATTAGTATTTTATTTTGGTAACTTATTTGATATCTAAATAATTAAGTACTTCTGTGACCTTTTAGAATAGGTCAATCAAGATACATGTTTGAGTACATTTTTCATAATTGAAAATGGTTGTATTTGATATCGTAACCATTAAGATTATCACTAATGGTAGCACGTGTGCATAGCCATTGAAATGAATTATTACTTCGATTGAAGTGATGAAATTTGGGTTTTCAGAATTTTTTAGCATAAGTCATTGTACTGAAATAATGAGATAATGTGTTGAGTTTGAATGTTGTGGGGTTTAATGTTTCGGTAATTTTTTTTTTTTCAGAATTTTAAATAGGTTCTACTTATTAATTGTCTCAAGTTCTTATTTTTGAAAAATTGAAACGAATAAAAATTTATTGTCAAATTGGACAAACCCCTTTTAAAAAGACGTGACATGCTGGTAGTATTGTTTTAAATGATGTGGCAATAAATACATTATTGTGACGTGTATTTTATAATTTCTGAATTAAAAAGTTGAGGACAAATTAGGCAAAATTGGTAAAGACAGTCTCTTTCTTTGCCATTGAGAAATGTAAAAACAGATTAGAGAGTGTGAGTGGAGCTTCGTATTAGGGTTTGCGGTGGCTAAGGTCGCGCCCAGCACCCGTGGCACCTTTGCCGGAAGTTGTGACTACAAGGGAGGCGACGACGTCGTTGGCGAGGAGCTCAATGTTGGTTGTGGTTTTCCTCTTGACATCGAGCACCAGCCTCTAACGCAGCCTCCGACATGCCCCCGGGTTCGCAACGGTGATGGACATCGTGGAAGCTGACATCGGAACCTACTATACAACGACAAACACGCGAAGCACCAAACCTACGACGCAAGGATAGAGCCATTGAATCCGGAAAGTAGTTGGTCTTAAATGCACCACAAATTTGGAAAACGCAGCGTTTGAGAAGAAATCTCTTCATAGAAACAAACATAAAAAAGGGCAAAGTAAGAAACTAATGGGAAAGTGAAAAGAAAATTTCAAAAACCAAAGAGAACAAAGGAAAACTCATTACCAATTGAAAGCGATGAAGATTCGAAGAGAGAAATTGAGAGAAATTGGAAGTTGCTATTGACATAGGGCAAAAAAAAGTTATTTTACATAGATGAAGATTTGAAAAGAAATGTTGGGGCAGCGAGCAAAACAAGAAGAGGAGTGAAAATTTTGAATGAATGAATGAGAAAGAGGGTGTGTGAAAAAATAGGTTCATTAAAAGAACTCATACACTTAAGTCTTCGTGTATCTTAAATCTAGTGTTTGGTTAATTTTGATTCCTTTCGAAATCTAGTGTTTTTCACCCACGAATCCTAATTTCACAATCGAAAAAAACGTTGTTTTTTCCCATGAACCCTAATTTCGCATTTTTCAATTGTAGAGAAAGGGACTGCCTTTAATTTCTTTTTCCCAATTTGCCCTCAATTTTTTAATTCATAAATTAAAAAATACACGTACAATAATGCATTTACTACCACATCATTTAAAACAATACAATCACCATGCCACTGCCACATCATTTAAAACAATACAATCAGCATGTCACGTAATGGCCTCTTAAATGGCGTTTGTCCAATTTGATGGCAAACCTCTATTTGTTTCAATTTTTCAAAAATAAGAACTCGAGACAACTAATAAGTAAGGACCTATTTAAGATTCTGGACGAAAAAAACACTACCGAAACATTAAACCAATGTTTTGGTTTATGAATTTTGGGCTGTTGAAATCATTTGTGGAAGGGTGTTGCTCCCTCCACCTCCACAGCCTTCTCCCTCCACCTCCCCAATTATCTTTAATTCCAATTATATCCTTAAAGTTAAAATTTTTTTTATTTTATTATTTTAATATTTAAATATTTAAATATAAACTAATATAAATATACATTATTAAAATACATTAAAAAGATATTCAAAAATAATAAATCAAAATATTAAAATATCTAATAAAATAATAACAGAAACATAAAATTAAAACAAAGCTTAAACGG